CCCACTGTGGTCTGACGTGGAGTCTCAGATCCATTGATGATTTGGACCTTGAAGGTGTACTGGGCGCTGTTAGCATCTGCTGGAATAGTGCGAAGTTTGTAGGTGGTAGAGCGAGAATCGTCGATTTGCATTCATCATCGAGGTCATGAGAGGAAGGATTGGTTTGTCACGCAGCTGACTCGAAGCTGTGTGTATGGTCTTTGGCAATCTTCATGGTGAGGAATAGGTGAGGGTAGCTGAAAGCTATTGTGTTTGTTAACAAAATGCACTACGCTAAAAGCTAGTGTAAAGATCTTTCGAGTGTTTTGAGTTTGAGAGAATGAAAGTTATGAGAGGATTAGAAAGCTATGAAACTAATCAACGAGAGAGATCCACAACCAAAGGATCGTAGATCTGAACTCCGCGGGAGACTGTAAAGTGTGATAGAGTAGGTTGCGGTAGCGAATCCTACTCACTCCACGATCCAAAAACGGAACGCGGGAAATTCGTCTAGCATTATCTGTAGCGTGGAATACTCCACGGCTAAATATCTAGAGCGATGTTTCATCATCAACCTAGTATGACTAGAGCGGTCATTGAGAATTCTGTCTCCAATGGACTATTCGCGAAGGACTATGTCATGAGTCGAACTCAGACCCTATCTAGGATCGAGTCGCGAATAAGGCTAAGAGCCGTGTATTGCAGCTGATAAAATAGAAAATAAGAATATATTATGGGAACTATAAAAAATTCAAATAAATATCCAACAGGTTAGATGTCTACTGTAAATTTTTCAAGAAATATCAATGATACATTATTTAACGAATTTCAGCATTATATTCTTATATCTTTTTTGTTATATATCGCATATTTCCAACCATTTACTGTTGCCAATGAGATTGTTATATACTATCTACGAGAACTATCGATCTTTAATTATCAAAGACGGATTATCCATCATTGACTATTTTTAAAAAGACGAATTATCTAATAAACTTCAGTTTTAAATTTTTATGTCTTTTGCTTGTTTTGATTAAATATCATATTGTTTCCAAGCATTCATTACCAATAAAATCAATATATAGTATCTATAATAAATTATCCATCTTTGACTATTAAAGATGGATTATTCATCTGACTATTGTTTTTTAAAACTGATCATTTTAAAAATAAATTTCAGCTTGAAATTTTTTTATCTTTGCCTGTTAATTATCACATTGCAAATTTTCTAACTATTTATTGCTGCTGAAATGGGTTATCTGGTACGTACTCTCTAGCTAGGACGGATTATCTGTCCCCGATTATCGACGACGGATTATCCGTCCCTAACTCTCGAGGACGGATTATCCGTCTTTGACCATTTTTTTTTTTTAATGGATAATCTAATGAACTTCAGCTTCAAATCCTTAAGTCTTTGGCCTCCTAAGTACATGTATGCAACTGAGACATGTACTGAGTACTAGTGGTGGTACTATTCACAATTGCATGAAGGGAACGAATCTAAAGCTCCTAATAGTCCTTCTGAGACTATTTTATGTGTAATCCATCCAGATTCCTCAGATTTTTCAACCACAGATTTCGATTTTGCTGTTTTGAATCGAATCCTGCCCTAAAGCTTTGAGTCTCCCTTGCGGTACCGACTACCGGAGGATTTACCGTACAGTCGTACCGATATTGGTACGAACATCCAGTCCAGTCGCGACTGCAAACGTGCTTCGGCGTGCATTTCTGTTTTGAAGACAATTGCACCCGCAACACCTCCACCTCAATGTTCTCCCTCTCTCTATTCAATCTCACTCACCCTAAAACCTCAGCACCAACAATGGCTACAATCTCACCAAACAACGATAGTCTATCAGCAGAATCAAACCCCAGGAAACGGCGAAAGCTCAATTGTGGCAGGGCAGACCCTTCGGGTGCCTCGTTACAGAAACCACGCGCCGAAAGTGGATATATCCAAACCTTGATGCAAGAGCCGATACTAGAGTTTACCACCGAGATGCCTGGCGGGGCCATTGACACAGGGCAAGAGACCCCATGGGCCAACGCACGGCGAGAAAGCAGCTGGTGGGAGGACGTGGTGCAATCTCTGGGCGGCAGCGGTTGGAACCAAGACTTTGAAAATATCATAAGCGGGTGCGATAGGGCTTGGGCCTTCGTTGAAGAATTGAAGCAGCTGTACGACAAGCTTGGGGGTGGCTTCAAAAGCCTCTGGGGGAACGACGCATTCGACGTGGTTTTTGCGCTGGCTGAACAGATGATAACTGCGCAGAACCAAATGCAGTCTCTCGGGTGCAGTACCAAAGTCGACATCGGATACCACTACACAACAGATGAAAACTTGATCAGAATCCGGCAACGGGGACTTCTCACAAGAGCCGAGCGACTTTCTTTGGGCATCCACGCGAAAGACAATGGAAAGCTCTGTGGGGATGGAGTATATACAGGCAACAATCCGTTTGCATTCTGTGCAAGGAAGTTTGGTGGGGTGGGGTTGTTCGTTGCTCGGCTTCGAGGGCGTGAACTCGACGTTACCCGTTGCTATGGTTCAGGTCGGCAACAGTGGAACCCCGACGAACACGATTCTAAAGCGTATGGAGAAGGTATCAATCAAATGGTCATCCTAAGGGCATCTGGCCAATGCATGCCTCTTGTTGCTTATCAAGTTTCGCTACTTGATGAAGTTATTGATAACATGGAAGATGCGGTCCCCGGAAAGGGTGATAATATATTCGATTTGCATTTGAAATTGCAGGCTTTGATCGACAAGCATTTTAATGAAGGGGAACAGACGTCGGTGCAGCGAGTGGCACCTTCGGCGATTCCCCGGCGCATCAGGAACCGACGAAGACGTGTCCGTCAGCTTCAACAAGCCCGCGACAGTGTCCGCCCAGCTAATCATGTATATGTACATATCCATGTGGCTGGACAAGACCCCGATCCCTCGAGACCAGCAACGGTTATTACTATTGAAAGCGATTCAAACAACCCTGTCAACAGAGCATCAACTTCCCTTCTTCTCCCCCCAATCTACATTGAAACGAAGCAGCCCGCAACATCAGCCCCAACCCTGAACCCACCTATTGACTTAGTGCATGATGACCGTTCAAAGGATCTTCTTCCTGCAAACCTTTCCACGCAGCAACCTCAGGCAGTAACAGAAACTAGCCCTTTCCTGACGCCCTCAAAGGCAGGCGCCGACAACCAAAGCTACGGTGACGCAACGAAAAATACATTAGATCTCCTGAAGAACCAGATCTCGTTGGACACCAAGCAAGCCCCATTCCAGAGCCTACCGGTGGGCACAATCCCCGGGGCCGATCTGTCGTCTGGGCGTTTGGTGCCAGCGACCCAGAACCAACCAAGTAGCACGGCCCCCGACACTTTGTTGCAAAGGCTCCGCCCTGTTGGACACAAGCAGGCGGAAGGCCCCGGGGGTGGAACTGGGGATGTAGATCTCGCCGGCATTTCCTTGCAAGCTGTGCGTGAGGTGTTGCTGAGCCATAACGGCGAGATGGAGTTCAAGCCTCTTCTGAGAATGTTCCGCGTGGGAAGGAAGTCACCAAAGGCGAGGATTGACCACTTTCGCGCTCTCTGTAAGGAGCTATGTCTCCGCAAAGCAGATCCCACTGGCGGCAGGCGGGTGCTGTCCCTCAAGCCGAACTGGAGGACCTCGGAATGCGATTGAAAGCCAGAGCCACGCTCCATTATTGCTTCCTCCGATGCGGTAGGTGCCTCTGGTTCGGTTCCGCCCAAAAGCACTAGCTGCTAGTTTAATAGCTGGGATTATGGCTACTGGATGATGATTGCATCAACTGAATCATTCCTATTGAATCCTTCGGCTTGAAGCACAAAACACAGTTAGTTGGCTGGGTTGCCATCACGACCGGCACAGCCCAATTCTTGGTAGTACGCTTCCAATGTCTTGGAGATATAGTGATTTCTAAAGGACAAAGCAGACATTGGGATTATTGATTCCGAGACTAGGTTCGGTTCCGCCCAAAAGCACCAGTTACCAGCCTAGTTTAATAGCTGGGATTATGGCTACTTGATGATGATTAGATTCCACCGTAAAACTCCCTTCTCTTTGCGGTTTCGTTGTGCCACTGTGCTTTACTACCGGTACTATCCGTTTACCCCTGTGAGAGGGGGCGTCGGCACCAACAGATCGAAGTCTATTCGCTCCCATCTAACCGTCGAACTCGCACTCCCCATCACTGTTGTCCGGAGAATCTTCCCAAATAGAGGCAGCTGCAGTGCTGCCACGAGCTGCCCTCGGCAACGACACCCTGCTCGAAACAACGGCGGATGGTTTCATTTCGACTGCCGATTCGTCATCCGAAGAGGATAGCTCGATTACTTCGTTTGAGGCGTTGGGCTTGGTTTTCTTGGGGGCCCTGCCTTTGGAGGTGGTCGACTGTTTGCGTTTCCTGGTCGTCGACTTTTTCGTGGTGGCTTTCTTCTTTGTGTTGGTTGTGCCCTTTGCAGGCTTTTTGCTTGCCTTCTTGGTGATCCAGCCATCCTTGTCCTTGCGCGCCGCCTTCTTGGCAGTTCCTGTGCTCTTCTTACCGGCCGACCGCGCTGGAAAGGCAAGAGTCACGTGGGGGTCTCTGGAGGAAAGCATGTTCCGTCCGTATTGTCCGAGTTCGAAGTAGACATTCGAACCGTATGCATTGAAAAACACTCGCGTTTGGAACACACGCTCCACCAGAAGGCCGATGATAATACGCTCGCAATCATCTGGGAGATTCAGGAACCAGGGAGGGTCAGTGTAATGCCGCCAACATGATATGGTAGGATGTTGTGATAAAGAATGACTTGCTTACCTGGACTCAACTCAGGCGCCGGAGGATTCTCCTGTACACTTTGGGTTTTAGGCAGTGAGAAGGAAGTCATGTCAGCAATCAACAAAACTTTGCTTGATCTCTTACCACGGCAGTGCATTGTCCCCTTTAGCTCTCCAATCTTTCACAAGCGAGCTCATGGATACATGCTCTCCCTGATTCAACTTCGAATTCAATACCTCCGTGACGGTTTTGGCGTGCTTCCCCACATCCCGCCGCTCAACCAAAGCAGTACCAGTCTCCTGATCCTTTCGCCGGGCCGTCTCAAGGTCTACCGCATCCTCACCTAATGCACTCAGAATTACGGAACGACAAACAGAATCACCCGATCCTTCCTGGGCGTACCGCACCATTTGCCAAAAAAATCCTTGCGCTGCGTTTCCTTCTCCATGCATCAACTGAATCATTCTTATTGCATCCTTCGGATTGAAGTACAAAACACAGTCGGCTGGGTTGCCGTCACGACCGGCCCGGCCCGATTCTTGGTAGTACGCTTCCAAAGTCTTGGAGATGGAGTGATGAAGGACGAAGCGGACATTCGCGTGGTTGATTCCGAGCCCGAAGGCTACATGTACCCCGATGAGTGGAGGCGAGTGAGAAGAGTATGTAAACATGGTAACGGCAGCATGGTCTTGACGAATGGAGGCCATGAAGGCAAGTGAGTCCAGCTCTTTAAATATTACCTATTGTTGCTACCACCACCTGTTTGAACCAATGCAAGCAAGCAGTGTTGGCAACATCTCGGGTTACAGATCCTTCGCCGCAGACGGCACGGTACCTGTGTGTCGTTCCTCATCCAGCTGTTGGAAATCAAAAAGCAAATCAAAAAGCAAAAGAATGTTGGCAACATCTCATTTATTGGTTTCACACCTCCGCAAGAAACCTTACCTTTGATGAATCATATCCTTCTTTGTTGGATTGACACTTTATTTTTGATTGGAGCAACTCTGTTAGCCAAACCACAAAACAAGAAACCACAATGCTGACAAAATCGACCACTCACTCGCTATGATAGGATTCTGCAACGATCCCACGATCGCAAAGTTCGTCGGCGACTGTGTCTGCATCCTTCCTCGACAGAGTGTAAATAATTCCAGGCTCCCCAGGGTGCTTATCGTGTATGAACGCCGCCATGTTGTCCAAACATTCGCTGGCAGACCCCTTGACTCTTACTTGATACTTCAGATTAGGACGGTCGGCTGAGCTCCTGAAGAAGCAGCACTGCCGAGAGATCTGCAATATATCACAGACATCATGTCTGACACGCTCGGATGCCGTCGCAGTAACTTTTGAAATAGTTGGAAAATGATGTCAGAAGAGAGTCAAATGCACACCGATGGGCTTACCTGCCAAGATTGGGACTTCTTTGAACGTGGCTCGAAGGATCCCAAGTTTCCCATAATCAGTTCTAAAGTCATGTCCCCAATTCGAGCTACAGTCTGTGCAAGATGTGAGGTTGAGTCCAAGTGGATTGATCATTAAAGACTGTATACTCCACACCTCGAAATACAAATACTCACGGGCTTCATCCACCACAAATCTTCCCAATCGATTTTGTTGATACAGCTTTTGCAGTTCGCTCTTGAGTTTGTTGGACTTGTGAACCTTCTCCGGCGTGACAAGAATCAAGCATACTCCACTCTGTGGATCTCGCACCTGATTCCAGCGGCGGGTGTGTTCGGCTTGGCCGCCAGGAAGGTTGCTAGTGAAGCTCACAGCGCTTCCAGGTGCAAACTGATTCATTTGATCTTCCTGGTCCTTTATCAAGGAGAGAAGAGGAGAAATGACCAAGGTGACCTTCCTGCTTGGACCTCTTCCTTCCAAAAGCGCTGGGAGTTGATACGTCAAGCTTTTGCCACCCCCAGTGCGCATCAATACAAACACATCCTTCCCAGACAATGTGCAATTGATGACTTCTTCTTGATGCTGCCGAAACTGCTTTATGCGGAAACTATTCTGCAGAAGTTCTTTTATGTGCGCCGACCAAGGAAAGTTGGAGTGACTGTATTGTTTTGTGGAGGCATGTGCCGAGGCGGGGTTCACTGTCGCGTTTCTATTTGCAGACGCCTCTCTTGGTCCCGAGGAGGGCGGCGTGGGAAGAGCCGCTGGTTTGGAAGTCGGGGCCAAGAAATGATCCAGGGTACCACTTCCCTTTGGAACGGGTTTCTTTTTCTTTGGTGGAATATTAGTGATTTGTAGCTGTTCAAAGCTGACTCTAGATGTGGCCGCTGATGCGATGCTTGTACCCAAATGGGTTGCTTTGCCGCCATCTTCGTTGTCGTCTTCGATAGGAGAATAATCATCATGGCGTGGTGGGGCATCCAAAGACACACGAGGGGCTCCGGAATTTCTACTGGGAGGAGCCAGTGGCTGGGTGAGTGGATCCGTCAATTGCTCATCCGAATGGATCAAAGTGAGTCCTTGCGTCGAGGACAACAGGTCCTCTCGTGATGTTCTATTTCCATTGGAATTTCTTGGAGGCTCTTTTTCCACATCCTGTTGTCGCTGCTGTTGTGGCACTTGTAGGGCAATGCACTGCTCCTCCAACGATTCCAAGTTTTCGTCCATTTGCTCAAGGATGAACTCCAATTCCTTTATCTCTACGTCAATATTCTTCTTCTTTTCTAACAATTCGTTCATGCGCTCTCGCTGCTCTTCACGGTGCTTTTCGAGAGCGCGAATCTTCGCCAAATTCCCTTGGATACTGCTCATGGTTGCTTTGCCTTTTCAAATGGTAATGTGATCGTCTCGAATGCGACGCCTCTCTCTCTACTGGAAGCCAATAGCAGTGCCAACAAAACTGCAATTCTCTCTATTGCGTCTGCAGAAGTCAATGCAGGAGTCAATCAATATCCGATGAAACGCTCTCCACCAATACAGACTTCTGTATGGTAAATTTACCAGGGCAATGCCAAGAGAGAGCTTTGGCCATTGTCGGTTTGTGGCTGGCTGGACGATGGACGATGGTCGAAGGCGAAGCAAAATCCGAAAGATTTCGAATCGAATTGATTCGATTCAATTCGATTAATTAAAAAATTGAGAGCCTTCCAGGTCGTCTCCTCGCATTAATATCAATAAAAAGCGTTAATAGAAAGTTTGAAATGTGTCTAGTATTATTTAGAAGTCGATTTTATGAGTTGCCATGACGTGTCGGTGACGTGGGACGGCTCGGCTGTCCACATAGAGTTCGGGTAATTTAGCGAGAGTCGGAGTCGGAATCGGAAGCCTCATGCTGCGTAAGTGGCACTTCTGCCACATTGACATCGGACTCAGTCGACGTAGAGGACTGGATCGGATCGTCTTCGATCTCGGCGGCCTTGACTTTCTTTCCTAGAGGTGATGGGCCACCGGTACTGAATCCTTTCTCGTCAATGCCAAGATCACTTTCGCCAGCAGCTCGTTTCTTGGAGTTCTTCTTTTTGGGCGTGTCTTTCTTGGACGACGAGGGAGTATCGGACTTCTTAGTGGTAGCGGAAGACTTAGAGGAAGATTTGTTCTGTTCGGATTCCTTGGATTTTGCGGGCATCTTTGAGTCAGATTTTGGCTTGGTACGCGATCCCTTGCCAGTCTTGTCAACTGGAGACTGGACATCGAAAAGAGCTTTGATTCCAGTTTTGCCAGCACCGAGACAGTGGAAGTCTTGAGGGGCCAAATGCTTCTCAGCGAGTTTGTAGTTCTTCATCTTGTACGGAGGGATATGTCCAGGAGACCAGATGGAGTAAAGATAGGCCTTATCTTCCTTCACGAAGTCCTCAAACTTCTTGGGGCCGACAAAATTGATGTTCTTGAGCCACGAGTTGCCATACATCTTGGGCAAGTCACCTTCGATCAGAATTTCCGACCACGAGTCGACTTCTTGGTACCAATTTGTAGCCAGTTTGATGGTCTCTCCTTTGGTATCGTGCTCAGAATCATCAAGAACCTTCTTGTTATACATGGGAATCATGGCATTCTCAACGAATCCCTTGATGAAACCCTCGGTCATGTCAACAGTGGAATCATGATTCAAAACGCGGACAAAACGCTTGGTTTTGACACTCATTGGCTTTTCGTTCTTTACAATGGTAGTTTTCAGAACGTTCTTGCGGTCGTTCGGGTCCGGGGCATAGTGAACCCACTGCGTAATGCCGGTGTTGGTGAAGGACGGGTGGGTGGAATTCTTTTCCTTCTTGAAGCACAAGTTGCCCAGCTTGACGGAAGCGGAACCGGCAATTTGGATGGCAAAACCGATGATGGGCTTCTTGTTGGCATCTGCAGGGATCTTGGGTTTGACGGCCAAAACGGTGATGGTGTTGTACACGGACGTTTGCTGGTTGATCTCTTCAATGATTTTGACGGCTTTCTTGCGTTGCTCAGAACTTCCACTGGGAGAACCGAAGTAGTCCGGTACGTCGGAATCGCTATCAGAAGCACTCATGGTGATACTGCACACTGTAAATGAAAGAGACAATAATGGTTAGTTGCTGTATGGTGATTTTCGTACTGAATGCCATGGTCGAGAATTGGAGCAATGCTTAGCTTGTTGCTTTTTGCTTGGAAGAGTGTTTTCAAGATGCTGTGATCTCGATTTGTGAGATCGAAGTGAATGGCATCTGATTTGGCTTTTGATGCGTAAAAGGAAGAAACGCGGACTTTGAGATGGTTTTGCTGGGAAGGCATGCGTGTGAAATGCGTGCCAAAACGTTCAAATCAGTCGTTTCAAACAGAGTATAGCGAGCTTAGTACAATTTAAACGAAACACATGAAACGAATCGGAACCTTTCAATTTCGCTGTATGATTTGGCACGATCGATCAGAAATTTGGGCTACGAAGGTCGCGTACTAGTTCCGCTGTAGAACAAGACACGATTAGTTCGAATTTTGAAGAAAAGAACCTTTGATGAGCGTGGAATCTCATTTTCATGTTTGAATAATAATACTTAGGGGTACGACCCCAGGAAACCCATGTGAGTAAAACTGAGATGGCGGAATGCGAAGTCAGTCAGAAACGAGAAAAGAACCCTTAAATCCATTTTTGACGACCTTCTCAATTCCATCAGCGAGAAGGCCTTACATATAAATCTGATGATAGTTGAATCTTGCTTGACAATCAGTCCGAGACTGTTGTGGACAGACAGTGCAAACAACTCCGTATGTCAGAAACCGTTTGATGGAAGCATGAAATGTGACAAGAAGACGAAGAACATGGTTCTTCAGTTCTTCCCACAAAAACTCCAACGTCGCTTTTACGATGGCCCCAGTTGTACCATGCGAAGATGAGTACGAATTTCTAGAGGAAATTGGAAAGGTTGCGACCAATGACACTGTAATAAGACGAATCAATCGGCGATATGATGAGTTGATACATGTTGACAATGACAAGAATTACCGGATGTATGTGTGTTCTATATGCGACGAATTCCTATTCCACCATGATGATTTGTGCTTTCTTAACTTCAACCAACTGAAAAAGAACGCGGACTGTTTGAAGTGGTCTGTCGTGTTTTCGGGTAGGGAGGGTCTACGTGTTAAGGCTGTTGAAAGCTCCTTTCAAATACCCACTCCACCTCCCAGGGTACTTCGACAAAGCGGCTGAAAGAACTCGCGTTATCACCCCGTGGAGTCTTTGGCAAGAATGGTACAAGCAATCGAGCAGTATGGGGTATATCCTGTTGCAAGAAATGTGAGCGTAGAGTAAAGAGCGGTAAGACACCCCTATTTGCAATCGTGAACAACAATTTTGTAGGCTGTGCACCTACGTGCCTTACTGATTTGACAGAGGTTGAATTAGCTTTGATTACTCCGGTGAAGGCATATGGCTACTGCTTTTCCTATGTTGGTGGTAAGATGAAAAATCTGAAAGGAAACACGACATTCATGAGAGTACAGGAAACAGGAATTGGTGGTGCCGCTGCCCAAATGAAATATATGGGGCTTAATGACAACCTCATCATTCTTTTGAGTGGCAAGATGATGAAAGGTCAGAAGAAGATTGCATCAAAGCCTATTAGACCAGAAAAGATCATTGATGCCGTGCAATGGCTTTCCGAGAACAATCATCAATGGAATGACGTTGATATGGAACAGCTTAAAAGTGATCTTGAGGGTTATGTACCAATTGTGATTGACAGAAGTCAGGAAGAAAATTCTGAGAACGCGAATGTGGAGAAACGAGAGGTATTTAGTTGCTTCTTTCCTGAAGGTGCCACCAGTGAAAGCAGCGGTGGTTTTGACAGTATGGATGAGTTCAAGAAGTTTGTGCATGAGAAGGAGAAGGATAACTTCCAAATGGAATTGCAGATGCATCTAGCGAAGGATTTTCTTAAGGGCAATGATTCGGACGCTCTGATTGGTTCGTGTTTATTGAACTTCCCCTATGGGGTTGGTGCGATGGACAGTGTACGCTTACAGGAGCGTTCCTCAATCGTGCCTGAAACCCACCCTAAATAGGGTCGGATTTAGGGTCGGATTCCCTTTAGGGTCGGGTTTCGAAACCGACCCTAAAATAGGGACGTTTTCTGAAAAATAGGGACGGTTTCTGAAAAACCGTCCCTAATTTAGGATCGGGTTTCGTTTAGGGTTCGGTTTGAAAAACGTCCCTAAATAGAAACGGGACTGCCTGGTAAATACATTGAAAACGCACCAATATTAGGGTCGGGTTTGAAAACCGACCCTAAAAATAGGGACGGTTTCTGAAAAATAGGGACGGTGTCTGAAAAAACGTCCCTAATTTAGGGACGGGTTTCGATTTAGGGTCGGGTTTCGAAACCATCCCTATATTTAGGGACGGATTCCCCCAAACCGACCCTAAATTAGGGTCGGATTTTTAAAAAGTCATGCACGATTGAGGAACGCTCCAGAAGGATACTACATGGAACACATGGATGGAAACGCTTCCCTTCCTTGCACATCTATCCAAGCTATCCCAACCAGTCTTCCACAGACAGATGTTCCAGTTGATTGTGTATTGTATTGGCACTAAGGTTCGCTTGTTTCAGAGGTCCAGGCTTCAATTGAAAGGGACATACTCAGCCAAAGCCATTGCAGAAGGCCTAGACTCAGATGATCTCAGCAGGGCAATTCGAAGTCGCAGATTGGGCAATTACAACGGTGGAATGAAATCATCTAAGAATCTCATCTCTGCCGTGAATGCTATAAGCAAGGCTCTTCCACACACGAATGAAGCTGCATCCAAAGCGAGGAACACTGCAGAAGCTATGATGCATCACTTTGGGACAGGCTCTATTTTCCTGACAGTCACGTTTGATGATGAAAATAGCCTTTTACTCGAACTTCTGAGTGGAAAGTGCATTAACGGAAAAGAAGGCAATTTGTCTGACGTCAGTGAAGCCAAACTACAAAGCGAAGCAGCAGGGAGACACCAGTTGCGTTTGGAGTTCCCTGGATTAGCGGCTGTGAATTTTGAATTGTTGTTCGAGATTTTGTGTGAAGAAGTGATTGGATGGAATCGTCGAACCAATAAGCCTACGGAGAAGCCAGGCCTTTTCGGTGAATGTTTGGCCATGGCTGCGGCCTTTGAAGAACAAGGAAGAAAGACAGTTCATGGCCACTTGACCTTGTGGATCAAGCGATTCCGCAAAATACAGCAGCAAATCTTCTTCGCTGATGTCAGGAAGAAGCAACTCGCAGATGGATTACTGGGGGCGTACCATGAGCGTTATGTGACTACCGCTTTGTTCCCCACAGCTACACACAAGTTGAACAAACTGCTTGACCATGAATGCACTCTGACTGACGTAAGAACCAGAAGTCCCCTTGAAGTCGCTTCGGATCAGGACCTACGTTATCTACGACATCGAAAGGGGATCGAGAAGACTAAGGGAACCTTCGTGTGGTGTCTGCACTGTGGCAAAGAGTACACTTATGAGGAAATGGTTAATGCTTTGATGCGAAAAGGTGAAAAGATGAATGGTCCGATACCATCAGATTGGACACAGGAACAAAAGGACGACGCATTGGATCAGATCCCAAAGGCCAGAATGCAAGCCACGATACTAGAATTCCAAAAGGATTTGGGCTCTGACGATGCACCGGTTGCCGTCATCAACGCATTGTACCAACACCATGTGTCTTGTCATGTCCGAGGATGTTTCAAATGTTCTAAGTTCAGCAAAAAGAAGCATACATGCGGACCCAAATGTGAATGCCGCTACAAGCTACCAGATCGAAAGCGAGATTATTCATGTGTGGAGACCATCGAGGACAACACAAAATGGTACGATTGGAGGGGGCAGTGGAAGAAACAGCCACTTGTACAATTTCTGCCAAAGCAAGGACGTTATGATCTGTTTCAGAATGCGTCATGTATGCCGATTTCGCAATCCAAGTTTACGTGCAACAGCAACATGTCCTTAATTACGGACAGCCCAATTGCAATGTATCAGATCAAGTACCAACACAAATCTACCCAGCAAGATGATACTGCAGAGTACGGCCATGTGGAACAAGCCATTAAGTCTTTGAATGGACGTGTCCATGATAACAATAGCAAAGAAGCAATGTGTCGCATCTGTCGGGCTGCTTTTGCGCACAACAAAGGAAATATCATTGGTCCATCATTGGCATCATTTCTGACGCGAAACAATTCCAGATTTTATTTCTCGCACCAATTTATTTACTGTCCATTTCGGTTGTTGCAGAAGGATCAAATGCAATCTACCTTGAAGGTTACTGCCAGCGGGAAATGTTACTTTGAGAATCAAGCCCTCCATTATCTTTGTCGCCATGATGATTTGAATAATGTGTGTGTCAAAGAATTCTTTGAGCGATATGATGTGAAGTCAATGTCATCAAGGAAGCGATCCAGAAAGCAGGATAATGGCAAATGGCCTTTCAAGGCTGACACAGGATATTTTGTGCACCCATCCACTGAAAGGGATGATGAGGGCCACCCTATGAATCACAATAGCGAAGGCGTCGTGGAGCGTGCAAATTGTGGTTTCATTCAAGTACCCCAATGGATGTTCTGTGATACTGCCAAGTTCAACTGTGATATGTTTCAATGCACCGATGGAGAGTTGAACCATGCAATGGATGACTATGCGAAGACAGTACTTGCAATGTTGCTTCCGCATAGATGTTTGTCGGATATTAAAGTGAGAAATGCAAGAACTGACTATCCATTTGCAGAGAAGTTGTGTGAAGTACATCAGCAGGACTCCTTCAGGAAGATACAGAACCAGCCACCAATTCTGTTCAGTGATGAAAACTGTGAGTTTCTGCAAAACATACAGAACTCTGCTTACAATAGCCTTCGTTACAAGATGGGCGGTGATGACTTAAGCCGTAACACAGAGCCTTACAGGCCGAAAGATCATTCAGATGACAATTTTGAGGAAGACGAAGAAGGCAAGGAAGAGGAAGGGCCCACAATCCCAGAGAAATCCTATGAAGATGTTCTTAATGGCCTTAATACTGCAACTCGGAATGATGAAGACGACCAGTACCTATCACAGACGTTACGAGGATTCAACTTCACTGACATTCGCAAAAATGGTGCTGACAACTGTGAAATTGACCCAAAGCTACCCACTCCAGAGCGGACTGAAGATGTGGCAACACAAGAAGATACTTTCGTGAAGGTCTATGTCAACTTCAATGTGGAAGGTGGCACATTCCGGTTACAGGATAAACCACCAACACCACGCCTGAGGGAATTGGTCGAGGTCTTCTTGACTAAGAGGACATCTAGAATCAGAGCTCAAGTTTTTGAGAGAAATCCTGAAGCAGAAATCATCGAAGCCAATGGCAGTGTCAATAGCATTCTTGAGTGGGCGAAAGCTGCCCAACTTGACCAAGTGCAGAAACGAGCATTTGAATGCATTGTGGTATCTTTCCTGTTGACTTTCTACAATGATGCTGGCGAGTTGGATGTTGAAGATGCTACGGTGGAATCTTTGAGCAAGCAGAAGTGCCGTTGCGTGAAGCTGAACTTGAGGAAATTGAAGGGCGGCAAAGAATCTCAGCTAATCTGTCTTGTACATGGTCCTGGTGGCAGTGGGAAGAGCACTGTTATCAATTTGGTAATTGCCTACGCACGCGAGTACTGTGAACTCATTGAACATCCTTTTACAGACCGCACCATCGTTGTGTGTGCAATGTCTGGTGTCGCAGCGACACTTCTTCATGGGGAAACGTGGCACAGTGCAGCTGGCGCGAATCGAAGCAAGAAAAACGTGGCGGACAATCTGTGTGACGAATGGAAAGATACTCGCATGGTAATTATTGACAAGATCTCTTTTGCTTCCGAGACAGACTTCAAGAAGATGTACGAGTACACTCAGATTTTGAAGGAAAACAAATTCTCGCCTTTCGGTGGTTTGAATATGGTGTTCGCTGGCGACTACTCGCAGCTGGAACCTGTCGGGCGCGATCCCATCTACAAGCATGGGGACGAACTTCCGGAGTTTCACATGCAACTTAACACCTACATTGAACTTGACGGACGTCACAGGTTCCGTGATGATCCCGAATGGGGGAACCGGTTGTTTAAATTCCGAGAAGGAGAAGCCACGGAAGAAGACATTGACTACATCAACACACACTGTCTAATCAGTCCTCAAAATATTCCTCCAAGCGACATTCAAGTTGCCTGTTATGGGAACAAAGAACGTGATGCCATCAACACCGCTGTCTTTGAGGAATACTGTAAGAACAATCAACCAGTTGACGGTAGCGTTTTCAAGGGGGCAGTAATGATTTTCATGGACGACTTGCAGATGGCAAATCAGGGTGGAAGCCTAGTTTATGTGAGAAGCAATGCAGTCAAGCGTCACTTCTTTTCTACATGCGGAGAATCAAGCTTTTAAGTGGGAACGAAGACAAACAAGAAAAGAACCGATCCGGTACTAAAGCTGTATCCAGGCTGTCCAATGATGATGACAGAGAACACCAATGTTCCGGCTGGCCAAGCTAATGGTTCTCGAGTTTTTGTGCAAGCAGTTCACCTTCGCTCAGATGTGCAGCCATTCATTGTTGAGCTTGAAAATGGATGCAAAGTGCGTGCTTATTCCGTGAATCAAGTGAAGCCCATTGAATTGAAACATGAGACACCAGACATTGTTCCGCGAGTGTTCCATGTCGAATCAAAGACATATCCTTTTGTTGCGAATTGGTTCTTTGAAGGTAAGAAGACTTCAACACGGATGAAAGGAGAACAGTTCCCAATAATTAGCAACAGTGCGACAACCGGACACAAGCTACAAGGGTACACTGCCAAGAACCTGTCAGTCAATGATTGGAGCTACAGACAGAATTGAGCTTATGTGGTTCTATCACGGGTCCGTACTATGGCTGGTTTGTTCCTACAAAAGCCTCTAAAATGGGCGAAAGATAACTTTGCGATGCCAAAGAACATGAAGAATTCGGGATACAATTTCACTTAATGCAATACGCGGCTCTTGGCCTTATTCGCGACTCGATCCTAGATAGGGTTTGAGTTCGACTCATGACTGAGTCTCTCGTGAATAGTTATTGAGTTAGGGTTCTCAATGACCGCTCTAGTCATACTAGGTTGATGATGAAACATCGCTCTAGATATTTAGCCAGCGTGGAGTACTTCCACGCTACTAGATCCATGCTAGACGAATCTTCCACGCGTTCCGTTTTAGGATCGTGTAGATACGTAGGATTACTACCGCAACCTACTCTATCACACTTTATAGTCTCCCGCGGGAGACCAGATCTACGATCCTTTGATGGTGATCTCTCTCGTTGATTAGTTTTCATAGCTTTCTAATCTCTCTCATAACTTTCATTCTCTCAAACACAAAACACTCGAAAGATCTTTACACTAGCTTTTAGCACAGTGCATTTTGTTAACAAACACAATAGCTTTCAGCTACCCTCAACCTATTCCTTCACCATGAAGATTGCTCAAGGAAAGCATGCGTTCACCAACTTCGAGAAACAGTTGCGTGACAAACCCATTCTTCCTCTCGTCGACAATGACGAAGACGCCGAGATCGACGATTCTCGTGCAACCACCTACAAACTTCGCACCGTTCCTGCAGATGCAAACAGTGCCAAATACACCTTCAAGGTAGCCATCATCAATGGTTCCAACACTCCACGTCAGACCATCAAGTGGGCTACGAATATGGAGAAGGTCTTCGTTGGACTCAACCTTGCTAGTCCCGACGACAAACATCGCCTTCTCAAGGAGATGACTTCCAGCTCTGCAAAGAGTGCCTACGAAGCTGGGTGTGCAGGCCATCGTGCCGTGCGTCATAACGCCCTATGACAAATTGCTGTGAACGCAATTCCTCCACGCGATGTGACTTCTGGAGAAACCGAAGTAGCCT